CATTCTTACTCAAACCATTGAGAAAAAATATCAATTTAAAACTAAAGGAAAAAGATTTTTAAAAAGGCTCACCACCGAACACCCTGGAAGAGATTGATTCGTATTCGTAGACAGTTTCCAGAGGTTTCACTGCCTTTTCGTACACGCTTTTCAGCTCTTTGATGGCTTTTTCTGCAGCAGCCAGGAAAGCGGAAGTTGGTGCAGCGGAAGCAAAGGCGTCCAGCAGGGTTCGATCTCGGGGGATATCCTGTTCTGAACCGGAAGGAATCGGGTATTCGTAGGCGGGCTCTCCAATCTGTGGTCCAGGGTCGATGATGACTTCAATGGGTGCTTCTGCTTCAATTACGAGCTGAAATTTAAAAATATATATACTGTTTAGTTTTAATTTTCTGAACCTTTTTAGACTTTGTCACTCTCTGACAGATAATGGCGAATTTTTGTTTTTATACTGTAATTTGGGAAGATGACACTGGAAGTCGCAATTCAATGTCAGTTAAAAATTCAATACAGAGATTTATTTTTGTTTCTTGGTTCATCATCGTGTGTGACGCAAAAACTGTAATAATATCGACAATAATTTTATTTAATTCATTGAATTGAGGAAGCTTCTCAGTCGTCCCTCGCATCTTCAGCAGTATTTTTTGCAAATTGTTTTTTTTTCAGGAATTAATTAAAAAATGTATTACCGGTTGTTCTTCCGGAGAAGGTGTGGTTTCAGCGGATGCAGGAGATTCTAATGATGTTTCCTGGCTGATTTCTGTGGAAATTGTTGGATCCGTTTCCGGAACAGCTTCCGGTAGTTGTTCTGTTTCACCTGACGCGTTTTCCACTGAAAGTGCGGGTTCTCCTTCTACCAGGGACAATTTGTCTTCCTGCAATTATAAAAAGTCCTGCAATTATAGAAATTCCCAAAGAGAGTATATCATTTATTTTTATTTTGTGTTTTGAGAGACTCACTTCAGACTCTGAAACTGGAATTTCAGAGCTGCTTGTTTCTGTCGTGGGCTCCACAGCAGCGGATGCTTCATCATGAGATTCACCTGTTTCGTGGATATATTTGAAAGATTTTGTTGAAAATGTACACCTTGAGCCAATATCTCAATAATATGGAGAATCATTAAAAATGTATTGCTGCTCCGTTCATCACTTCCCTGCAGATTATTTATTTGGCGAGTGCTGCTTTGGAATTTTTTCAGGGTGATTTTCATAACTTCTGTGCCATTTTCGACCATTTTTAAAGAATTGAAATTATGAATTTTAACATATCATCAAAGATTTTGACTAAATTCGGAACTTCTGCACTCCCGAAAAATTTTTATTTCTAGAAATGTATTTCAATTCAGCCAAAAATTGCATGAAATATCTTTTTTAAATGTTTTTGACGACGATTTCTTTAAAAATGAGAAGTGGAAATAACCTTCAGCTGCTTGAGGTTCTTCCGTGGACACAGGAGGAACTTCTTCTGACGAGCCACTCACTTCCGGTAACTCAACAGGTTGTGATTCTCCGGAAGCATCTGCATGAACCTGCGACAGTGTTTCTTCACTGACACTAGGAAGTACTTCCTCTGATGATCCCTCGTGACTCGCTGACAGCAAAGTTTCATCTGCGGC